TGACTAAGGGTCTGGTGAGTAAATTATAAAGGATTTCTAAGGGCTCTCTGGATCTCTGTCGCGGCTGAGCTGGATAAGGTTTAGAAGGGATTTTCTTTTAAAATCTATATCTGTGACGAGAAAACCCCATTACAGCTGGGGAAATAAGGACTTTAATCTTAACAGCCTAATGAGGGTAGCAATGTTAAGCCCTGAGCCCTGTACGCGGCACCCAATAAACCTTGAACAGTAACCGCGCTAAACCCTGACCCTCAAAAGTCAAAACCCAATGGCCTGAAAACACATAAAACCCTGAAGCCTAGTACAGAGGCCTCAATGAACACCATAACCATTTTGAATTCTACTTGAGTAACCCTATACCATCGTTTTGCGAAAACAATCTAAGACCATAATGTTTGCAATCATTTCGGCCCCTTTCGGAACCACCCTGGCACCGGGCTTCCCTGCTCCAGAAACTGAAGGTGTTTCCACCAAGCGTCCTTGAAGCAGTCCGGCAGGTTTAGGGTTTAGGGGTCTTAGGGGTTTAGGGTTTAGGTCTACCCAAGGGCTGCAATGTAGTTCCTTTTAGGTTTGTTGTGGTTTTTGGTAAGGGATTATGGTATCCTGCCCAACAAAGGAACCGCGTAGGAGGGTCTGGGTAAGGTTTAGGGTTCGAAAGAATTCGGAGCGACATACCCCTGAGGATCCACATGCCCACAGCTTGGGTACTTCGGGTTGTGGAACTAGAAACTGTAGTGAAGGTTTGGGGTAAGTGCGTGATTATTGGGTACTCGGATTCTGTGTGTATTGTACCTGGAGTATCAAATCAAGGCTTATGGAGCGTAAGCAAAGGTCGAACCCAAAATGGTCATCAACACAAGCCCCTACACTGAAGCCCTAGCTTCCAACTTCCCACCCAAACCGCGTTAAAATGAAGCAAAACATCAATATGTTAGATACCAAGCCTTTCGTTAGTTGTACACATGTTTGTTTAAGTATGGGGCTAAGTTGACTAGCAAACCTTTTGTTGGGATATGCTCGTTTGTCCAAGTACAGGGCAACTTTGATTAGCATGGGGTTGGGGGCAGTTTCTGCCCCTAATGTTGAATGACAACTCACTCTGAACCGTGCGCGTCCTTCTGGCGTCTACAATATCGGCGTTTCAGGTTTAGGGGTTTAGGATCCAGAGTCCTGGGTTTTTGAAGACCCGGACTTTCCATTTCAGTATTGCATGAGGCTTCACTTTGAACCTAAAAGCAATGCTTGGGACACCTTGGAGACGACATGGGTAGTAATTATGAGAACTCTGCAGGGAATACAGATGTCTAAATGCTCCAGCCTTGCACATGCCCTTGACTGCAATCTCGTTGCCACATAGCGCATTCAACATTGGAACACATAAGCCTGAGCCCCTAGATGCCAGGCCCTTTGACTGCTTGACCAAAACCCAAGCCCAAGAAACCAAACCTCCTGTAAACCTGATCTTGAAAGCAATCTTTGCAGGGCCCTCTCCGTGTCTTCCCATGCAGACGACGCAGTCCTTAGAGTGTGGCCTGTGCTGCACTAACCGCGCAGCTGCAAATCTCCTGCTTCTGCTTGGTCCACCTCTCTCATATCCTTCTCCCTCTCTTCCTGCTTCTAGCACACCATGGCCAAGCATACCTGCGCGGCGTTCCGCAGGTTGGTTCTCCACGGGCTGCGGCGTTCCCGGCTTGCGGGATTATTCTGGACGGGTAGCCTGCCACCGTCCTCTTCTTCATCCGGTGCTTCAGACAGCGCCGCTGTCACGACCCTTGTCTGCATTCTGCGTTCGCTATCTTCATGTGCGCCTCTAAGCCAGCCGCAGCCCTAAGCCTTCAACCCGCCTAGACTTGTACTGCCCTAAGCCCTAAACCAGCTTAAACCCAGAATCCTGAACCAGCCTGAACCTTACACCACCGCTGCAAATACTACACCACTCTACCTCAAAAGTATGTAAACAAATTACCCCAAGCCAGTACCATCAGCCATACAGGCCATTATTTTGCATACTTTTTGGGTCCAGGTACAACCCACAATAGTAGTTCCCTTTTCCTTAACCCCAAACCCTAAAACCCTTGGGCAGGGGGAGCCCTAAGCCACCCCAGCCTTGTGCCGCGCTTTCTCAGCCTCAACCCTGGCCTGCACCTCTGGTTCCTGCCCGACGCTTCAAAGGTTTCGGGTTTAGGGTGTACCATGGTGGTTATAATGCACGGATTATATAGGGAGCTTAGGGTGGCTATATAGGGGGCTCTGGTAGGAAAATATGGGGTTATAGAAGGGTTAATTTGGGGTCATAATGTTGCGCTCACTGTAGCGTAGAGACCTTCTTTAATGTGTTTTCGCCGCCGCTTATTCAGGATCTGGCCATTGTTGGGCCTCGAGGGGCCCTCAGTAACCGTGGGACCCTTGTTCAGGACGTCTAATTTCTATTCTTCTGGAGGCCCTATCTGAAGGAGGGGGGGGGGCCTAAGATTAAAGTGACTCCAACATTATTATGATGACATATGGTGAGTATAGGGATTGTATAAAGGTTCCAAGGATAATGTAGCTCTTCCCGAGCTGAGGGTGTATTGCAATAACCCATTACACTTTAAAGTTTATGGTTGTACGCACGGACTGACGGTTGATTAATACTGCGCAGCATACAGCTTAACATCCGCAATCGTAAAATAGGTCTAACAGATTTTTGCAGGGTCCAAGGACCCAAATAAGAGAGCTTTAGGCCCCAAATTCCATTTTATAGTATTTGGGCCCTAAAACCCCATTATTTGGGTCCTTGGACCCTTAGAGATTGTTTATACTATCTCTGCGGCAAGCGGCCCGAGGTTACATGTACTGTAGACCGAATGCTGTTAAGGCTGCTGGAGGGTTACCCTAAACCCTAAACCCTAAACCCAACCCTCAACCCTAAACCCTAACCCCTAAACCCAACCCTAATGATGGAAGGCCGGAGAAGCAAGGCCGAAAGCTGGAGGGGAAAAGCTGGAAGGCTGGGAAGGGTTATAGTACGGGTTATACAAGGGTTATGTTAGGGGTTATATTAGGAGTTATGTTAAGGGTTATAGTAGGGGTTATATTAGGGGCTACCCAAGGCTCCTCCCAGGGCCATCTATCGTACTAGCGCTTTGCTTCTTTCAGGGCCTCCCTGGCTTTCCTAGCCGCAGGCTAGGTGCCGCCAGCTTCGTCGCTTGCAAGGCTAGAAGGTTGGAAGGTTGGAGTCATCTTGACTGGGT